TAAAGACAAAAATCAAGCATGCCATTTAGCAGTGTAAAATAAAGGTCACAAATTTTACCTATCTTTATATGTTAAAATGCTATGATAAAGCAAATACCCAAGGAAAAAAACTCTCACCTTGCAAACGACTGTTCCAACAACTTGCCACGTATCTGCTACATCCTGTTTATCATACTGCATGGATTTTACCTTTTCAGTTATAGAAATAAAAACCTGTGGTTTTCCTTTGTATGTTCCAGCTTTCCAGGCTGGCTGTTTTGGTAGCTGAGTCACAGAAGCAAAATCAGTATTATCCATTGAATTCTGTAAGTTAGCATCTAATAAAGTACCAAATGGACAAGCCTGAAGAAGCAAGTCAGGTAATTGACTCAATCTTGTATTTAGCTCAGTGTCATTTTTCTGACCAGAGAAAAGAAAATCTTGTATCCCAAAAAGAAGTTCCAAGCCTTGTGAAATTCCACTAATGCTGATTAATGGTGGGGGAGGAGACAGAGTTTGTTCAACTAGTGGGATACTGGCATATATCATGCCATTCCTCAGAAAAGCAATTACTGGCCAGAGTTCTTGACCTCCTAATGGAAGTCTATAGATGGATGTTTTATTGATGCGTGAACAACTATCACGACTCTCCACAAAGTCCTTATCATCATCCAATAATCTAAATTCAAAGAGAAGTGCTTTAAGAAAGGGACCATCTTCAGGAATAGGCACATAACTTGCTCCATTGAAGACTTTGGCTCGTTTTTCAACAGTAGGGAATCGTCTGCATAGGAAAACAAAAACGTTAAAAAGAAAAGAGGAAAAAAAAAATAAAAACAGCCCTAAACCACAAGGCAAACAGTAGCAATCACAAACATACAACAAATATATATATACCAAGAAAAGCCAGCAACCAAAAATTATATGTGTATTAAGTTCCTACTACAGTGTTTCATATTTAGAATGTTACCTTAAATGATAAAGTATCATTTATTATTAGCGATGCTAATTCAACTTAATTTTAAGGTAAGAGTATGTGATTTTAATCTCACATTTTTATTTTTTAGTCTCACAGATTTCCTGTTGGTGGGCAAGGGGTATGTATCTAGACCATTTTAGTCATCTATAAGATTTTTGTTTTTCTTTTGATTCCTTCTTAACAGAACCACAGTTGTGATTCACTATAAACTTCTAATTTGGATTCATCAATTAAGATGATATAATTTAAAAAGAACATATTAGAAACAATGGCTTATCTCTAGAGTCCTGGAAGATACTAGGAGGTAATAAAACAAAATCTGTAATTCTTTATTGCTTGCTGGCTCTGAACAGAACATTAAGTTACTAATTTATCTGTTCTCTTTGGAAACGTAATACAAAATGCTATTGTTCTTGTACAGAAGTCTGCTTCTCAGTTTGACAAAATACATTTTTCCTATTCCTTCTCCCTCCATTTCAAAGTCTAGAGTAATATTATTAACTTTTGGGTAAATCATCTAACTTTCCTAAGCTTATTTTCTTATTTGTAAAACAAATAGGAGGGCCATACTACAGCTCAGTGGTATAGCATCTGCTTAGCAGCACAAAGCCTTGGGTTCAATCTCTAGCATCAAAAATAAATAAAATAAACTAAGAGAAAATAAAACAAAACAAATGGGTTGCAAAAAATCAGCTGTTTTTATCAAGGAGCCAGAAACATACTTCCCTAAAACAATGCTTTTTACCAATACCAATGTTTACTAATACTTAAAAAAGAATGTATTCCAAGCTATCAATCTGAGTAAATTTCCCTCACTTAAGTTCTAATATATTTTCCTGATGGAAAAAGGGGAAGAATTAAGTAGGATAATATTAGTGACCTTTCTCATTCTCATCACCTGGAGGATAAACTCTAAAGGAAAAAGTCAAGAAGTTATAAAGTTAAGAAGTTCATTTGGAACCTTAAATAATGCCTTAATATGTGCTCAATAAATATTTTTGTTGGATGACTCAACTTGTCATTCCCAATTTTATTCTAGGTTTTTTTTTTTTTCCTAACAGGAGTCAAACCTTAATTGGGCCTATAATTATGGACACAATACCAACCTAAACCAGGCTTAAGCTGATACTACTAGTATCTGGACAGCAAATATTTAAACTAGAATTTAATTTTTAAACCAAGTTTTGGTGTGCTAAGAACATTTGCCTTCTTAAATCTTAAACAATGGCCACTGTACATCTGCTCAGCCTAACTCTAGTCTCAAGAAGTCAGAATTCTGAAAATAATGTAAGCTTGATTTGTTGAATAATACAGAATCAGTATCAGAGAGATAAATTATGTGAGCCCAGAAAGCAGGGTTCACATAACCAATGAAGATATAAAGCTTAAATGATAATAGCAAAATTGATACATGGTCTAGAGAAAAACTAAGTAAGATTCCCATTTAACACCATGACTGAAGGAGTACCACAGATGAATTAAAGACCTAAATATAGTAGATAAAATAATGTGGTATAGTTGAATTTGGTATTTAAGAGTAGGGTTGTTTGGTGGTACTGGGTTAAAAAATATAAAATGGTTTTGATTGTATCAAAACTGCTACTTTGCCAGGTGCCAGTGGCTCACACCTACAAAGGAGGCTGAGATCTGAGTATTCCTGTTCAAAGCCAGCCCAAGAAGACAAAACTTAAGGATTCTTATCTCCAATTAACTAGCAAAAAGCAAGAAGGAGAAGCATGGCTCAATGCACCAGTTGTGATGGAAAAATCCCAGAAAACTGAGGGATAGTGTAAGACCTGGAGTTCAAGCTCTAGAATAAACACACACACACCCACCCACCCACACACACAATTTTAACTGCAGGTAACATAAAAGTTATTGATGAACTAAAAGAAAATATGTGAATATCTAAAATGACATGCATTAATATAAAAACACACAATAAACTTTCATAAATCAAACAGGGAAAAGCATTAATTTTTAAAGGAAAAAAAGAGCAAATGTATAGGCAATTCACAAGAAGAGCATACAAAAAGGACTCACAAATAACACAATTAGATATCCCTTACTGGCAAACATCAGATTAAGTGACATGAAATAAGAGAGATATAGAAACCCTCAATGTGTTGATGGGTACAATCAGTATTCTGGTAGTATTTGGTCACAACTAGCATAGATATGTCCTATAGATCAATGTGAGTATAACTACAGAGCAATTGTTCTGATGGCTAGGAGGAAGGCACTAAAAAAGAGACAGGTAAAACATGGAACAAGTAAAACATGAAGTATTACAGAGTAAGTTGAAGCAATGGCCTAGCTCTGCGGTCCAATATGGTAGACACTAGGCACATGTGGTATTTAAACTTAAAAGTGATAGTGCTGAGAAATCTGAAAAATGTAAGAAAAGGGAATGAAAGTCTTGCATTCTTTTCTAATGTAAGAAAAAATGAGTGTTTTAAAATTATGTAACTTAATATATATGCAAACACACACAAATGACAGGATAAAATGAAATAGTGTAAGATTAACCCATGAGAGTAGAAATAGACAACCATAGGACAGTAGGTAAAATGGAAGGGTTCCTTAAATCAATGAAGCTGATGAACCATGGAGCTAAGAATATAATCAGTTCTCTGTCCCAAGGTCCAGTAACAACAAATGTTCTCTGTCCTGAGGTCCAACAGCAACAAATGTTAAGTCAGGTATCCTGGAGGAAAATGATTAACTTCAACTCTGATACCTTCAGTAAGACAACTATTTGGGTTGCAAAGACAGGATTTTTTCATAGCTGCACTGTCAATCACTTTACATTCAAAATTGCACTAATTTTTTATCCGTTTCAACCTCTCATTCAACTAGACCACAGGGCTTTCCTTGGAGAAGAATGCCTTGTTAAGGTGGGAGGAGGGAAAGGAAGAACTATCAGTGGCCATTGAGAGTGAAAGGTGAAACAAATTACTACCTCCATTTTAAGTTATAGGAAAAGCACCGTACCTACAGCTAATTCTTAAAGTGGGACAAGATCATTTACATCATCAAAGGAAACAGCGATGGTAATTTAATGTTTTCCCACGTCTTCTTATTTATTTCAACAACTGGGAACAGTAAACGACGGCGACTTCTAGCAGTCACGCACCTTGGTAAGATGAAAATACTACTGCTCAGTAATAACGATTTTTCAGCAGAATGAGTTTAAGATGACTTTGAATGACATCCTCCATATAGTCTGATAATCCTAATTTTTTTTTCCCTTTCCTTTCTCCAGCCTGCATCGACCCCGAAGCAGATGGAGTTGATGTTAAGATACCACCCTGGGGTGGGGGTGGGGGAGACCCGAGGGGAGCCCAGGCAATACTTCCTACGTGCCAGGTACGGAGTGGGTTACAAATCTTACAACACGGTCTAAGAACGTTTCCGCCTTCAGGGACAAACCAGGCGAAGCAAGATGCCCAAAGCCCTGGCGTGGCTTCTTCTCGGCGGATCTGGGCTACCAAACATCCTCAGACTGTGCTCCGCCCCCCATCCCCGCCCCCAGCGTGCCCGACGCCTCCCAGCTGCATTCACCTGGAGAATCTGACCGTGCCACCAGGTGGGGTTCCCGGTTCGTGGCGAACGAGCCACAGGGCGCGCTGGGCCATGGCGGGCCCCCGGCATCCGCTCCCCTCGGAACGGCCCGCCACCCCCGCCGCGACCCACAGCGGCTGCCTCACACCGACTCCGCCACCACCTCCCGGGCTGGGTTCCGTCACCAGAGAAGCACCAGTCTCTCCGGTCAAGGCACGTCAACTCAAAGTTCTAAGAATCCGCACCGAGAACCTAGAGAAACTTGCCCATTCCGTCCTCCGCCAGCAAGCCTGTCTTCCTTGCATTTCTACTTCCGGGACGGTGGCCCGAGAGGACGAAACTTCCTCCAGGGCCGCCACGCGAAGACTCACGAGTGCTCCAGTACTCGCTCTTCCGACGCCGGCCCCGCCCCGCCCCGCCCCTCCCGCGGCCTCCCCGGGCGCGCGCAGCTCCACTTCCGGCGTCCGAGGCGGTGACAATGGGAGCGGCGCGGGCGGCGCCGGGAGGCAGCTGACAGGCGTCGCTGACTTCGCTGCATGGCGGCTCTCTCCTCCAGCCTGGGCTCTGCGAGGACTGGGAGAGCCCAGGACTGCCCGAAGCCGGAGCTGACCGTGCCGAGCGGGGATCTGTGCGCCGCGCCGCGGAGGCGCAGCATGTGAAGCGGAGACGGAGTCGCGCGCGCGGCGATCCTCTCTGACGGCCGGGATGGCTACGACGGCCGAGCTCTTCGAGGTGGGTCCCGCGGCCGTGCGTGCGGGGAGTGGCAGGCCCGGGGTGCGGCGTGGGGCGGGCGGAGGAAGCTGGCCGCGTTCGTCGGGCTCCCCCCCCCCCCCGAGCCCTCGGGAGCTCGGTGCGAAGCCGGGGGGGCGGGGCGAGGTGGGACGGGGCGGCGGCCTCGCTCTCGGGGCGGGCTCCGTGCAATGGGGGGGTGGGAGGGGCGCGGCTTCGGGTCCAGAGGGGCCCCGGGGGTGGGGGGTGGGGGAGCGTTGGTTTGTCAGGAGTGGGAGTCAGGAGGTTGCGGCGTTAGGAATTGTCTACCGGGAAGGGCTGGCTCGGGACGGGGAAAGACCCCCCCCACACCCCCCCAGCTCCCGGTGGGGCGAATCCGGTCGGGACGCGCGGTAGCATTCGTAGAGACCACCTGGCGCGCGTGTGCGTGTGTGTATGGGTATGGGGGGGGGGACTCCCGGGGGTTTGTACTGTGCCACTGCTGAATGTTGTCCCGCCGCTTTTCCTTTACATTTAAAAAGGCTAGGAATAATCATTTAGGGCACCAAAGGCCTACTGTATCCCGCAGACACAGGCAAGTGCACCTACCATGAACGATGGGGCTCGGATCTCAAGGAATTTACAATTTCCGAACTGCTAAGCCAAAGGAATCCTTCCTGTGTGTTTGACAGGGAAGGGGAAGGATCACTCGCTGATGAATTTCCTGGTGTGTTTTCAGTGCCTAAACCTGCAATTTTAGTATAAAGTCTTCACTTTAAGAAGCTGTCATATTAGATGGTTGAATGAGACCAGGACACAATGAAACATACAAAATCTTTTCTTTTGTGAAAGGAATGAAAAGGGAGCATTAAAAAAAGGAAAAGTCTTTTCAAAAATATTAATATGAAGTACCAGAAGTGCTGTAAGTGGTAGACAACATTGCAGTTCACAGCTGAGAATTTCTCCAATAAAAATTGTATCTTTGAAAGCTTAAGATTTATTAGTTCTTGTAGCTTAAATTTTAGATGCCACTATTTACATAACAAATGTAACTCTTGATTGTTACTTTTGCTAGTAACTGCATTTTGGCTTTCAGTCACCTCTTGCATAGTTAATGCTTTTGTTGAGAGCAAAAAAAAACCCCACAAAACAACCCATGTCAATTTAGAGTAAATTGTAACGAAATATTAATTTGTGAGTGTAGGATTATAATTTCACTCAACACTTAAATATTTGTTGCATTTTTTTCTGGGAGATTACACTAACATCTGCCATCTGTTCATTTATACTGGAGCAAGGAAGCATTCTTGTTCTGAATTCATTACTGTACGTTCGTGGGCAACATAATAGGTACTTTGTGGTTTCTTGTTTGTATTTTCACATTTTATAAAGGTAGAAAACTTAAGGAATTTAATGCATTTCATGACAAGGAGACTGTTAGCAGAAAACCATTATATAGTCATACATTTCATGAGACAGTATGTTTTGAATTAATGTCTTTTTTGATATTTATAGTTGTGTCTTCAGTCATATTATGTGTATTTAGAAATTTTATATGTGTGATCACATGTGTTTGAAAAGGCTATTTGAAAATGTATTTTTTTCCAGAAAGAGAGGAGTGAAAAGTACATATTTTTTAACCTAGTGACTGGAGTTACATGGCAGCTGGAAATATTCAGCAGTGATATAGATACTGCTTAGAGGGCTCTTACACAAAGTTAAGCATGCGTATAGGCCTAAACACTAGTGACTTTCTTTACTGACCATATATCACTTGTTGCTTCATCAAAAGTAAACCAAATTACAGTAATAGTTAGAATGATGTATTATTAAATATAAATGTAAGACCTATATTTTTCTTTTTTCTTTATGATTTTTGAGTCTAGCTAGCCCTGTAGTGGCCTGTGCTCTTGAAATTACATTTTTATTCCCAAGTGAAAAGTTTACCTCTTTGCTTTAGAAAGAGGAGGACAAGAAAAAAACCCCTCAGTCTCTGCTGGCATTTCCTGCAGCTATTGCAATAGATCTAGGTTATAGGATAAGTGAGGGTTTTTTTTTTTTTATCTCCTCTTTGACCTTTTTAGTCACAGCTGGAGAACCATGGAAAGCAGAACAGGATGTAGTCAAGGATATTTTGTTTGTATGCATCCTGGTTTTCATGCACTACTAAATAGAATGGGCTCTCATCTTCCACATTGAAGAACTGGAAACAAAATTAAACTTTGTTTAACCAGAGTTAACAATTGTCAATTCTGCTTTTTAAAAATATTTTGATCTTATGAGTTTTCCCTTTTTACATAGACAACATCAAACAGCAAAATTGAACTAGGATATTTCCTTAATTGATAGAAGTGATTTATTAATACATAACTCAATTATTGTAATAATGTATATGTTGGGAGCTGCCCAGAATACTTTCTTAGTTTTCAACCCTTGTTGAAAGATCCTGAAAGGCTTCAACTGTAGTCTTTTAAACAACACACTTCAGGATGTCCTTTCTGTGGTTTGGATTAATGATATATCCTACATTTCAGAAGGCTTGGATGGTAAATACATTTGTTTCGTTTGCACTGCTGAAGACATTTCTCATGTTTGAATTTTCTCTTACATCCTTAGAAATTTTCTCTTACATCCTTACATCCTCCATTTTCTCTGGGCAGTCTACCTGTATGGAATAGTTCTCTGTTAATAACTAAAGTCAATTATTTACTCGGGAAATACCTTTGAGTACCTGCTGAGTTCAAGATAATGTGCCAACATTAATAAAGCTAAATATCCCATCGAAAATTCATCCATGCATTAATTCAGAAACTATTCATTGAATACCTGTCTTATGCTGGATGTCATTTTAGATACTGGAGTTAGAAGTTAGTGAATTAAAATTATAGTTGGGGAGGACATGTATAACTGTTATCACAGTGCAGTGAAAGGACAGAATCTTCCTGAGATGATTAGGAAAGATTTTATATGCATGTACACATCCTTTCTCTTAGTATTTCCTAAATAAATCTCACCTTAGGGTTGGGAAGGTGGCTCAGTGGTAGAGAGCTTGCCTTGCATGCATGAGACCCTGGGTTTGATTCCTCAGTACCACATAAGCAGAAAAAGCCAGAAGTGGCGCTGTGGCTCAGGTGGTAGAGTATTATTAGCCTTGAGCTGAAGAGCTGAGGGACAGCGCCCAGGCCCAGAATTCAGGCCCCACAACCGACACACACACACACACACACAATATCTCACCTTAGAAGTTGGTGTTACTTCTGTGGATGCTTTGGAAATTTGTACTCATCTATCAATGCTCAGTTTACATGTCATCATAATGTTTTAGGAATAGAGAGTAGAGGCTCCTGACAAAGCATTGAGACCTTAAAAGTCTTAGGAAGTTTGGAAGAGTCTTTATGTACCATGCTTGATGGGGCTGATATTACTTTTATTTAAAGGTTTCAGGTGAGATCGATAATTTTAATGTTAGTTTGAAGAATGTCATTTAATGGAGAAGAGATTATCAATCTGGCAACAGTCTTGTCATTTGGTCATTGTTCCATAATTGTCCATAATTGACTAATCAGGACAGTTGAAATCCTAACCTGACTTAATGGACAGGAAAGACAGGAAATTTGAGATGGCATTTTGGAGGAAGAATGAAAATAATTTGGTTATTGTGAACTTCAAAAACAATAGGTTGTTGGTATTGTACTAACTGTGGCAGTATTTTGGAACAATCCTTTCAGAAAGAAGTCCTGTTATTGTATTTAATTTATTTTTTGGTCGTGGGGCCTGAACTCTGGGCCTGGGCGCTGTCCCTGACCCCTTCAGCTCAATGCTAGTGCTCTACCACTTGAGCCACAGCACCACTTCCGGCTTTTTCTGTTTATGTGGTGCTGAGGAATCGAACCCAGGGCTTCATGCATGCAAGGCAAGCACTCTACCACTGAGCTGTTACATTTCCAACCCCTGTGTTAATTTTTTTAAAGATATATATTTAGTTCTAGCAATATATCCTTGTGAAAAAGTCTAGATGGTACTTATACATATGAATTAGAAATTCAGAACGTGGTAGACAACTAGTTGACAGGAATTATTTTATATAGGTGATTGTTTAAACCTGGAAATTTCCCAGCTCTACCCTTGAGTAGACTTGGATAAGTTACCTAACTTCTTTGTACTTCAATTTTCCTATTTATAAAATGGGAAGATAATAGTTCCTACTTCAGAAGGATGTTTGATAGATTACCTTTAATTGATAAATCACTTAGAAGAATGCGATTGAAAAAAAATTAATTGGTAGCTACTTTATGTGGATTAAGAGGAGAAAATTGAGCATCTTTTAGGGAGGAAAAGCTTTTCAAAGTAGACTAAGAAGAAATGATCCTAGAAATAGGAGAAGAGAATTACAAAAAGGAGTAGAAGGTTAATTTCAGGATTACCTAGTTAAGATTTGTTATCCTACAAAGTGACTTCTCATAGAGAAGGGTCTAGTGCTGCTTTCTTGACTTGAATTGGGCTATGACTACAGTACAAGCAATGTAATACAGTGATTTCCAAGATGAAGTTGTGAAAGTTAATATGCCTGGACCTTTTCTGATATTCTGTTTTAGACTCAGGCACCTTTTCAAAGAACCAAGACCCTTGGCCTTCAGCTTTGGCTAAACTGCCAAAAGACACTAAACACCAATTTGTCATCCTATGTTGAACAGAACTAGCTGATGTCATGTGGAGCAAACGCAGGATTTGCTTGCTAAGTTGATTTGTGAACAAAATAATGATTATAGTTATTTTAAGTCACTAAGGACGGGAGTGGTTGGTGTACTGGGATGGTTGGTATGCAGTGATATAGATAGCAAACTGTGGCTGATCTACTTACTTGTGTCAAGATAAAGAGGCTCCTACTACTTTTAGTAAACAATGAATTGAAATATAAGAGTCATGGGTTTACATTAAAATGTTTTAAATATTTTTGTTATTAAGATGTACAGAGAGAGGGGTTAGAGTTTCATAAGTCAGGTGATGAGTACATTTTTTTTTTT